CTCTCTTCACTTCAGTGAACAGGGTAAAGCTTACATGAAGTATAAATGTGGTCAAAGGAAAAAACACTGGAAAGCTGAACTATTCTGGATAGCTTCATGTGTCATATGCCATCCAGAACTACTTAAGTGATGTTGAAATTAAAACAGAACTAGAAAACAAATAAGATCAAACCACATAGTAAATGCTCCGTACTTGTATATGTTCTAGTCTTTTCGACCACTCAAAGCGCTTTTACACTACATCTGCAGTCACCAGTCACACACTGAGCCCAAAGTGCTCAAACGGAAACTAACATTCACACTCACTCATACACTGGCGGAACAGCCGCCGCAGGGGCAATTCAGGGTTCAGTATCTTGCCCAAGGACACTTCGACACGCAACCAGGGGGAGCCAGGGATTGAACCGCCGACCTTCCAATTAACGGCCGCCCCTATAGATAGTCACCTAAGAACAATTGGCTCAAAGGGGAATTTTCCCATTGCCTCAATGGAAAAGAAAGTTAGGGCCAATGCACCTTAGACAACCAATCTGGGACGCTGGGTTGTGATTACTTTTCCAAAGAAGTTTACTCAGGCCTAAAAAAGGTTTCCTAGAGGTAAGGAGGACAAGGTGAGGATTCAGCAAGGAATCACTACATGACGTGGGTAGCTGTAACATGCATGCAGGCTTATGTGTTGGTGGAAGCCAGTAATGAGATTGGCTGCTGCTGGAGACAGAGACTGAAGTACTGAAGTGCACAGACCTTAACTTTACCTTGAAAGGTATGTAAACCACGAAGCAAAGGCGCCCCACTAATTACTTTTCCACAATGTGCACTCACAAGCCCAGGTCACGTTAGCTAATGAAACCACCGACGGACTCTCTTTGATGGAGAAAAGGCCAAACACCGTTTAAAAAGCAGCTGTTTTAATAACTAACGTCACCTATCAGTGAATACTGTAGCCAAAAAGATCGCCCCATCGCTGGTAGCTTAAAGCACGAGTATCGCATTTTAACATGTAGCCGTCGGTGCTCTGTTTGCTGTTAGCTAACAGAGGGCTGTGGTTGTAATGAGCGAAAGACAAGCCAACAGTTAGTGAGACTTAAATATTCTAATGTTGCCTTTGTCAGATATATACCGGATTTCTAACAAGGCCATCTAGATTCGTGGTAACTGTCGTCGCTGATGAGCAGGGTACCACTAAACAGTTTGGCGTCACGAAGCTAACTCTCTTACCCTTTCATTTTGAGGCACTGTGAATATTTTATTGTTCTTGATAGATTTGAGCTTTATAGGGTCCGGTTCGTCCTCTCCTACGGTTTCCATTCTTTAATTTAAGGTCGTGTTCAGCCTCAGAAGATGAGAGTAACGTCCGTTATGGCTTTAACTCTACAAGCAGCAGCTGGCTCCGCTGGGCGCCGCCATTGTGTTTTGTTTGGGGCCACCAACAGGAAGTCAGGAAGACTGAGCGCTTTGCTGGAGTGTCAGCAGGGACCACACTGGTCTACGATGGAAACACATTGCTTCTGTGGTTCTGCAACTGGTGAAGTCCATTTCAGTCCTTATTGGAAGACTGTAATTAAATAAAAATACATATGGAAGTTATTGAACATTTTCCACTTCAGGATGAGACTGAATCACAGATACAGCCTACAGGCAACCATAATTATTATTTATTAATTAAGTAATGAGTGAGCAGTGAGCATGAATGTAGTAGTAGTAGTAGTAGTAGTACTTACAGGCCTACTTCAACACTTTAGTATTGCACTTCAATAAAGTTTGGGGACTCACCAGAAGCAGCGGGATCCCAGATTTAACTGGGTTCTGGTCCCTCTGGGTCAGGGTATGGGCCATGATTCTTCCTAATCCTTAAAGCAACGGAAACGACATCCTTTCATTAAAGCCTGCTAAATGTCCATGTCTCTCCACCCTCCATCTCTCAACATCATTGACATCAGCAGGGTTATTTTCTCAGACAGGTATTGTCCTCCAGAGCCGCAGACGACAAACAGCTGTTGTAAGTAACTGATCTAAGTTGCCCTTTGAGGTACCCATAAAGTATAATACATTAATGTGGATTACACAGCAATACATACAGTAATGAAAATATCAACAAGGTGCAGTAATTAAAAGCTGCTCACACTTCAACGAATCAATACAAATAATTTCATAATAATAATAATAAGACATTCTGAAGAGGGATATTTTGCATAATGAAAACATTTTCTGCTTATTCATACCTTTAATTATGTAAATTAAACATATTGCTGTTTAGATTGTTTGCCGCTCTCTGGCCTCACCAAAGTTTCCCTTCACAGTTTACCTTCTGTGGCAGGACATGTTGAGTTACTGTCTCATCATGAACTTCTTCCCCACTACAAAGGGTGTGGAAGAAGGCCTCCGCTCTTTAATGGCATCAGCTATAGTCATGTTGGACGGTGAGGCGTAGATGTCTTCTCGCGATGGAGCTGTGATGAGGATGACAGGTCCACTTGGAGAGGAGTCAGCTGAATCTGCCTCAGTGTTGGGCTGTGACGTGGGGGAGCTCTCTGCAACTGAGGGAGAAAATTACTCTGGAATATCAGTGTTGGAAAATACCCACTAACACCAAATATTAGTCAGATATACACGTTTCCTTACTCCACAGACTGGAGCTTTGTACAGCCAATAACCCACTAAAATAGCTTCTCTATTTTAGGGAAGGTTAAGGGTAAAAGGTTATGAACCAAATAAACATATGAAAGGTGTGTTTCACCTACACACCATCTTCTCCAGCCTCTGTTGTAATTCCTGTCTACTAAATGAAGTCCTCACAGATATAATAGTAAACACTGGACTGCCACTGTCCTGGGACTGACCTGATGAGGTGTAAGGTGAGGTAAACCTCCAGACTGGAGGATATCCAGCAGTGTGTGTGTGTGTGTGTGTGTGTTCAGGTGTGTGGCCTCAGTGTTTCTGTTTGGTATGAAGATCAACAGCACTTTTTTAATTGGATTGTGCTAATTTCTTAAGAGTGTTAGGACTGTCTAACTCATCCTACTACTGCACGGAGGAACAATGATTATTAATGACCTTAACGATGATCAACAACAATTAGGCATCTTAACATCTTCAACTGCTATAAAAAGGCATCAGACATTTTCACACTCATGTAAACAATAGCCTGCATAAATCTTGGTCGATGAGGGAGTTGAGGTGTAGTACAAGCTGTGCAATCGTCATAAAGAGGGCATTGTGTACCAATAATTTTGTAGCTGCTTTGTGGTGTGGTTTATAGGAAATGCAGATCAGCATTTATTCTACAATAAATACACGTGGTCATGACTGATATTAAATGTCAATATATAATAAATGATATATAAAATTAAATAGTCCTACTTAAGTGTTAAGTATTTACTCTATGGCTGATCGCAAAAACAAATGACCAATCACCACTACCAAAGGATAGTAGGTCAGTATACACAAAAATACTCTTATTTACAGTCCGTATAAATATTTACTTCCCCTGCACTTTAGGATAAACACAAATCAAATATTGTTAAGAATCTGGGTAAATTTAACATATTCCGAAAGTAGTAATCCTTCAGTAGAAATCACAGGCTTATCAATTAGTTGATAATGTCATTGGTATGTTTCATTTTTTTGTGGCCATTCCCGGTTTTCTACTGAGGTCTCGTGCATTTCATCCCTACCTGAATCTTCCTTCTGGCTTGCTCCAGACCCCATTGGGCTTCAGTCAGCTGGTGTACAGTCCTTACATGTCCACACACGGTGCTTACATTTTGGTCAGTCTATGTCTACAGCCCATTTAGAGTCTGCGTTTAGGAGCTCGTGTTATGTCTGAGGCTACTGTTTTTGCCAATCTCTGCCACTCCCTCCCTGCCCCCGCCCTGTGTGGGAGACAGACACTAATCCTGTGCAGGTGCTCACAGCAGTAGTAAGATATACTGGATTTAAAAGGCACTAACTCGTTTAAACTCGTGTTCTATTATGAAAAAAACAATTGCTGTACATTATATGTAGTCAGGGATAATCACATTATTACCTCTGAACTCAAATATATATATCAACAAAATGCCAGATAGTCCAAAAATATCAAATATCGCGTATTACTGAAAAAACGATAATTTTTCTTGTTCAAATAATCAAATTAATCTGACTGAAATTAATATAAACTCACAATTTCAGTTTATAATTTAATGGTTGGCAATCCACAATATCAAGTGCAATTGCTTAATGTAGCCAAGGAGAGACCTGCACAGGCTAAAGGATAATAACCTTGGTGATAGCTTTAATCTGGATGAATAAAAAATGGAATTGCAAACAAACACCCCAGATACATGCTGGTATTTTCAGTAATTGGTGATTGAATAAAATACAATTATATTGGCCACGCCAACTATAGAGTATATACAAAATACTCATGTATTTTTTATTATTGTTGTTACACAGATGTGTGTAATTTCCTTAAATATGTGAACACAGTTACAACCAAAGCAACGACACATACAATTACCAACTGTGTCAAGTCTCTTGAAGATTTTACTTGCATTTAAAAGTTGCATTTTATTATGTCAATGACATGCTAAAGCTTCATTTAGTCATGAGTATAGATTGATGCTGAATACAAAATTTGGGCATGACTGAATTAAGTTAGCAAAAGGGACTTTTCCCAAAGATTAGTCTTTAGAAAAAGCTAATTTCAGGAGAACAGGGTGTCCACACAAGCTAAAAATTAACTGCAGTGTCTTCTCTCTACTCAGTCAGACTAATCCTATAGATTGTGGTATACCCTTTGCCCAGGAAACAGTATTCCACATTTGAATATGATCAGTCAAACCATATCAGCATCATAATTGTTAATTGTAAGATATAGGAGGTTAATTTTGACAAGAGGTCACAGCAGTCATGTGCTATTGTGTACTGGCACTTTGTACTTGGAGCCCTAATTTAAAATGCTCATGTTGTAGACTATTCAAATCTCATGTCCACAAATCAATGCCTTCTGCTGGATGCCATTATTGTTATATATATGTTTATTTTTTTAACATTTTGAAAACATAACAATTTGAAACAAAAACTCCGCCAGCCAACAGGATGAATGCCACAACTGTGTTTCACAAAACCTTACAAGAACCTCTCAGATACAGCGAAGACCAAAAAATACCAATTTTGTGGTAATACACCAATTAATAAGAGCCACGTGTGAGAAGGCTTTTAAAGTAGGCACGAGTAGCTCCAACAATGATATTAGTGTGAGGGGAAGTAGACAAAACATGTTGAGTTCAGATAACGTCAGATTAGGTCATAAAGTAATTATAGTGTTATAATAATACTGCATTACAGAGTTCATAATACTCTACTACAATATAAATTCTGTAGTTTCTGCGATACCCCGTGCATTTCATGAAGTGCTTTCGCTGACATGCAGTTTTTCACTGACACTGCTGTAGAGAGAAGAGAAATGTCCACACAAACATAAAACACTATGAACAATAACACATCATTTCTGCCTATTTATTCCATCCTGCACCTTCCTCTTGTCTTTTTAATGACAGTGTGTGGCTGATGGTGTGTTTATGAGGGTTCATCCGCCCAGCGACGCAGATACTCTAAATCATCTTCAACCTCGTCTTCTTCAGTCTTGGCTTTTGGGGAGAAAAAAAACCCTGTTCTTTTTAAATCCGCTAACATGTGAATTTGCTCACTGTAGCATCAGCACTACCAAAAATATCTACTTACTTAACTTGACTCAGGATCAATGACAAGACCTCTGCTTTACCAACTAAGCTAAACAGCTACGGTTTTGTATCATATGGTTCTTACCAGGACGGGAAGGTGATGCAGTGGACGTCACTTTGGAACAAGGAATTATCTCCTCTGTTCTGTCCTTCTCAAAGAGACTCTCATCCAGATTCTTTTCCAGCCTCTTCAGCTCTGCCAGCAGCTCATCCTTAAGATAACACACAAACACACAGCAGTTGGCTCATATCACCGTAAATCTAATAAATTTTGTCACAACGTACACCTATAAAAGAGAAAAAAAGGGCGCATAAGTTGTTCTACATTAATGTAGCCAGGTGAACCAGGGGTACAGAGGTAAATAGTGTTGTGGGTATTATAATGTTATGTAGTTGCTGGTGAGATTACTGCAGCGATAACTGTCCTCTGTATTTAATGGCACTGTCGCTTCAATAGTTCTACATGGGACGGCTCGAGCGAGAGGGTAGAGTTTCTGACGGGACACGGGGAAAAACGGAAGTGTTTGGTCCCGCGATGTACAGAAACGGCAAGGGATGTACTTTGGTTTATCGATACGGAGGATTTCTCCATAACCCATTGTAAAGTACAGTAATAATCCTTAAGATCGGCAGACGAAAGAGTTAACTAACTAGCGGACCAAGGTAGAGGCAAGAAGACCAGAGTGTCCTGGCTGATAGCCGTGTGTGTGTGTGTGTGTGTGTGTGTGTGTGTGTGTGTGTGTGTGTGTGTGTGTGTGTGTATCTTCGCCACGAGGGGAAGAGCCTCTGAGCAGCGGCGACAGCGTGATTGACATTGAAGTGTATTAACAAACAAAATCACGTTATATTGGTGTATACTGAAGCTGTAAATAAACGATGTTTGTTTCCTATTTTTCCGCTGACTTAGAGGGGAGATACATGTGCGGCGTTCTTGGTGTGTGTATGTGTGTGTGGGCGTGTCCTGAGGACGCACACTGCACAGTCGAACAGTGAGTTGCTGATTTCATTCATAAAATGTTAATTCTGAGTTTCTGCACAAAGTGTTGGGCAAATTGTATTCTGTGAATGAATGTATTTTATGTTTTATGGTAAATTGAAATATTTCACCTTGAGTTTATGCACTCAATGCATTATGTGGCTAAGTGAATGTATTTAATTATATTTGTTTTTTAATTTTCTCTGTTTAGAAAGGACACTACTGTTGTCTAGTCTAGAGTGGTGTTATCTAACCTAGATGTCTAGATTTTGATGTTGTACAGATTTTGGCTGTTTTACAGCTTTGGTTGTTGAGAATTTAGGTTCCTGTCTAGAAAGAAGTAACTGAAGTCTACCAGAGTGAGTGTGAACTAGTTTACGGCAGCTGTTTACATATTGTGGTATGGTGAAGGCGTACTATAGAGTACTGTTAAGTCACATAGTTGAGATCAGATTCAATAGGCAAAGGACAAGTAAGAAAGTTATTCCTGTGTTTTGTATAACCACCAACTGCCTTAACCTCTCGACTTTACATTATTAACGCTGTTCTCATTGGAGTCCAGTCGGGGAATAAAAACCCATAAAATTTATTGTGTGTTTGCCCTCATCCTTCCTGGCCTGGCCACATTAATAATGCTATATATTCACACTACAACTAAAATGCATATGCAATAGTTATACTATATAAACAATATGGTATGACTATAGTAATTTCCAAAAAGAACACATTAATACAACAGGAAACACTAAGGCGATACTAAATACTATAGTACAATTGCTAATCTCAATAGTATTGTATTACTGAAATACTATAGTACTACTGATATTACTGGTTTTTTTTTTAGTATTTTTGTAGTATTTCCATAGTAATCTTTATAATTGTTTTTTAAGGGCAGCCTCCTCTAAACAGGGACGCTGAGAGAAGGTCCATCTATATAATGATGTCATTCTAAATGGTGTGCAATATTCCTGTTTTTCATATTTATTTTAATGGCCAGGATCATTTATGTATTATAGTTATTATTCAATATATATTCGAAATGCTGCCGCTCATCTCCTTACTGGTAAACGAGATCACATCACCCCTGTTCTGGCCTCCCTTCACTGGCTCCCAGGATTGTTTTAGGATTGATTTTAAGATGCCTTCATGAACTAGCTCCAGCCTCTATCACTGATCTGTTGAAGCTGTATGCTGCTTCAAGGTCATTAAGGTCCACGAACCAGTCACTTCTTGTTGTCCCTAAAACATGGCTCAAGAACAGAGGGGATCAAGCTTTCCCAGTTGCAGCCCCGAGACTGTGGAATGAATTGCCTCTTCATGTCAGACTGGCCCCCAGCCTTCCGGTTTTTAAATCGCAACTTAAAACTCACTTTTATTCCTTGGCTTTTAATCCAGGATGAGAGGTGCATACTGCTGTTTTGTTAGTGTTGTATTTTGTCTATTTAATGATTCATGTCAATGTACAGCACTTTGGTCAATTTGGTTATTCTTAAATATGCTTTAGAAATAAAGTTGGATTGGATTATAGTTATTAACCACAATTTACAACAATGTGAGAATGTTTTACACCACAGCCGACAGCAAACTTCAACATCAACATACTGTATATGTTAAAGCAGCCACAGCAACTACGCAGTCAACAGCAGGAACTAATGCAGGATGAAGGAGAGCAAGAGGGAGAGACAGCGCCTGGACGAGAGAGAGATGAGACCCACGACCAGTTCACCATAGTTTATAATAATGGAGTGCAGTGAGGATCCAGACGCTTCATAGAGACGAGCGTCTGTCTGTCTGTTAACAGAGACTCCAGTCTGCAGTGTAGTTCATACACGTCACTGATAAACCACACAACTTTAGAGTTCAGTGCAAACAAACAAAGTCCATTTCTAAAATCCCTGAAAGTATGTCTGTCCTCAGCTCTTACCTCATCAAATTCCACTCCAAAGCTTACAGATGTGTAGAGGGTGTCTGACATGTCCTCAGTCACATCCTCCTCTGTAATGTCCTTGATCAGTTCAGTCACCTTGTTGACAATGTCTCTAAAATAGCCAGCAGAAAGTCCCTGTCTCAGTTAAAAACTTTTTAAAAAAGAGGATGTTATAACATTTGCTGTGAGCTGGATCCAAACACATGGTAACATGTAACTAGATAACATCCACATACATTCACTCAGCATTAATATCCAATATCCAAACTGGTAGCTATTATTTACAATATTTTTATAACTTAAAACAACACAAGTAGTCTTGTTTTTATTCTACTCTGTTTGTTTCCGACATCATTACATGTCATAAATCAAAATGTTCTCCTTTGCCTTACATGTGTTCATGAGCGGACCTCAAGGCTTTATAAGCACAGTCAATGTACTTGAGATGCTTCTCGTACCACTTCTTTCTTCTCAGCGCCAGCAGAGCCACTGGAAGACAAACATATTGGGATACGGTGGATGAGAATGATTTTATGTTAATGACAGCTATATATATATATATAGCTACATAGGGCCATCTATATAAATACAGATGGCCCTGCAGCTTTATTGCCAGACATCTGAGCACAACAAAGTACAGACACAGCCAATGTCCACAGGATGGAATAAATAGTACAAAAGTTTCATCGGAGACGCAAAATAGAGAGACCTGAGTCGACCAACTCGCACCTCCTTATATAGCTGTTTGTAAGCATGATCTCATCCATTGACTTTCTTTCTTGCTGCACATGGTTCTGTGGAAAATCCCAGATTGTTATGTGCTGTAGAGGTGGTTGAGCAGGTTGAGAACCCAAGCGCAGAACACCAGAGCTGAGCAGATATAGTCCAAAGATTTATTAACAAAAAGAGAGCACACTTACAAACTGTGGCTAAGTCCAAATAGAATCCAAAGGGGTGTAAATGAAACAGAGGTCCAAAACCAGCAGGAACAAACTCAGGCAACAGACCAACACGGGATACACTCAACAATAAACCAACACAGACTGAACAGAACACAGCCTTCAATGAACATTCAAGGATGGGAGAGGATCTCTGTTCCCCAAAATATAGAAACCTAGACTGTGTAAATGATTATGCATCTTTGCTCGGGGCAAGACGCCCGAAGCTGCCCTAGACAGCAGGTCTCTGGACCAGCTGTATGTGTTGTAGTACTTCTCTGTTTATTCTCTTTTATTAATAAATTCTTCAAAGACAACAGTTTGTTGTTACTCAATTATTTGCTTAATCCCTCACCAGCAAGATACAATTTGCCATTTGTTTGCTTGATTAGCAAAAAGCACTTCTGTCTACGTTTTATCCATCTCAATTGAATTTTTTAATAAATGGACTATATTGAAATATTTATTAATATAGATTTTGATCCATATTAAGGTTACCCGCAGCAGTGCTTTTTGTTTTCATCATCTGAAGACTATCCTAACACCCAACTTTTTTAACCATCATTTCCCATGAGGCACCTGCCTCTTCTTGCATACATGTATTAATGTTAGACTTAAGGCTAACATCATTCACGTGTTTCACAGCTGTGACCTATACATGCGTTTCATGTGCATTATGCTAGGTCAAATAGACGGAACATTAAGTTAGCTGAGGTGCTAGCTTAATAACTACGTTTACAGCTAGCATTAATATTACTTTAACTGGCAAACGTTACTTGTATGATCTGATGTTAATTAATAATTATACACGGCATACATCAACTTCCTTTAAAATATCTAACCTCGTCTGTTTTTTCTGCTGTTTTTCTTGGCGAACAGAAGTTCCTGGTCAATCTTTTTCTTCAGAAAGTCTTTCTTCTTCATCAACAACTCCTCTCTCTCAGGAAGGTTCTCAATCTCCTCTTGTCCACATGGCTTCTTTGTCGCCTTTTCTCCTCCATGAAATATCTTGTCAAACAAAGACATGTCTGTGATGCTGGCTACAACGCGAAATGGCAGCTTTTCTGCCAGTGTTCAGGCCTTGGCCTTGCACTGATTACTTGTGTGAGTTCGCAGCTCTCCCTCCCAGGTGATGACAGTTGCCTGTAACCTGGAGACCGCGCTCAAAAGGAAACACGCGCGCGCGCGCTCACGGCGGGGGCTTTAGCAGGTGAAGCCCTGAAAAAAAAAGTTTACTGATAACCTGTTTTTGCAAAATCTAGTAAAAAACACCAATTTATATATATGACCCCGCTTCTGTTAGAGGACAGCTGCACGTGACATGACGTAGTATTTATTTAACTAGGCTTCTTGAACATTTACATCATTCATTAGGCCTATATGAACATATATATATGAACATATATACATATATATAATGTTAAAAACGTGTTAGTTGCGGTTGTATGAAAGATGAATAAGCCTACATCCAGAAATTATTGACAAATATAACATAATAATGTAAGTTTTAAATGTGACAAGATGTCTGGTTGGAAGTGAATTGGTGCAGAAATGAGGGCATTGAAGACCATTTATACCCAATTAATTAGATCAATATTAGATCATGTGTGTTTGGATCTGCAGCAAATACTCACTCAAATCACTAAAAAAGTTAGATCACATTCAGTATCAGGCTTTGTGATTATCTTCTGGTGCCTTTAGAACAACTCCAGCACCAGCTTTACAAGTTGAAATGGGAGAAATGCCACAAGAAATAAGAAGCATACAGCTTTCACTTAATTACTGAGTAATTCACAAGGTCATAGTCAAGATCATCCAACAACACACGTTAAAGTCTTGCTGGGAATAGGAAAGGAGGGAAACAAAAAGTTTTAGATGGACAGCTACACAGAAAGCAACAGAAATCTCAAATAAACATCAGTCCAGTATTACCAGCAATACAATCATGGATACTTGATATATTATGTCATAGGAGCTAACTTTGAATTCACAAACAATAGTAGTCTACATGGAAATTCAGTTAAATAAAGTTAATACAGTTAAATTCAGATCTACAGATGCTTCAAAGAATTAAATCAATAAAATTGGAATTGCATTCATTGAGACACCAGAGTTCAACATTAAAACTGGGGAAGAAATCAGTAATGTTTTAGACTCAGAATCAGAAATATTTTTACTATACTATTGATGCCTGACGGGAAATCCTTTTGTTACAATTGCTCACTTTGCATATGAAGATATTCAATCCATCCATCCATCCATCATCAACCGCTTATCCTGTGTACAGGGTCGCGGGGGGCTTGAGCCTATCAGCTGACATTGGGTGAAAGGCGGGGTACACCCTGGACAGGTCGCCAGTCCATCGCAGGGCCACACATAGACAAACAACCAGTCACGCTCACACTCACACTCACACCTAAGGACCATGTCAAGATATTAAGGAATATAAATTTGTTTATCAGTTGACAGAGAAATGCTCATAATATTGTCAGCATTACAATGGACTAAAGAGCCAAGACCACTGAGAGCAGTTCATATTCAATTGTCACTACAAAGTTTGAAATACAGCTATTCAACACATATATATTTGGATATAATTACAACAGAGAATACACTATTCACACTATAGGACTGAATGTGATGTTTCTCTGCATAGCACACATATTGGAATCAAAGGAAATAAAATTAACAGATAAATAGCCTACATATGCAAAAGAAGCCAAAAAAACGAAGAGCGTAGCCTAATTAAGCTCAGCTTAAGGAAAAGGGGGCATAAGGGGTGGTGGTGGTGATGGGGCAGTGGATAAGATGTGACACATCCACCAAAGTGTCCCTGAGCAAGACACTTAACCACTAGTTGCTCCAGAGGCATGTGACCTCTGACATGTTTAGCAATTGTAAGTCGCTTTGGATAAAAGCGTCAGCTAAATGAATAAATGTAAATGTAAATAAGAAGTGGGAAGAAGAGAGAAGGGATGATGGTTTTATAGAATTCAAAGACTGAGACATAGGCTACAGGAAGAAGCAGGAGAGAGGAGACAATAATATTCCCATTAAAGTTTGATTTTACAGGACTAAACAGCACATCGTTTAAACTATGAAAACGCAACACAGAAAGACGTGACCTTTGCAGACAAGAACAAACTTTAAAACATGTATTCTATTCATTGTCAAAGACATGAAGCTGAGATAAGTGACTGATTCTGAGCTTCAGCTTTTATTTGCATATGACTGTGTGACTGTTGTGTGTTTTTGTTTGATTATCCGAGGAGAACAAATCTGACTGAGAGGTTGTTGGTTCATTTGATTTATTCATCGCCCCTCCGCACCGATTGATGGCGGTGACGCACCGTTTCGCTGTTTTGCCAACCGTCCTACAGAAGAAGAAGCACGTGACTACTGTTGAACCAGGAAATGCGGCTGCAGTTGACACGGTTGGATCAAAACAAATCGAGACTAGCCTGTTGGGCTGCTGAAAAATATTTTCCTGTGATCACCTGCAATCATATTCGTCTTGACATGGATGGTATGTCGTGTTTTAACAGCTGGACGGTCAAAACGGATAGACGTTGCCTCTTATTTTAGCTTTAACTCACCCACAGATCGAATGACGGCTAGCAAACGTTAGCTTGGGTGGGTGGTTAGCTAAATTAGCTGTCAGACCTGTTTTGAATTTCAGTTCATTTGTTTATCATCTTTAACTGCCAGACTGACTTCTGCTTTGGCCTTAGGTTTGATTTAACAGCATACGCTGCCTGCCGCTGAATCGTTTCGTATCAAATGACTGTTATGTTAGAAATAACACAATGAGTCACGTTGTTTTTCAGCCTTCAAGGAAAGAAAAGACAGACCGGAAAAGTCCTTTTCATTTGACCAGCAATCTTGTTTTAGTATATAATGTCACCAGACACTGAATGTATGATGTAGAGTTAGTATATTACTAACAGACAGTCTATGCTCCTAACTCTGTCTGCCACTGTCTCTCCACAGAAACACTCTTCCAGCTAAAGGTATGTATCTGTTTAAAGGTTTAATCTGTATCAGCATGATGGTAGGCCTGTCATCGTAACTACTTTTGTTGGACGATGTATTGTCCCAGAAATAATTGCGATAAAATATATTTTTGACATTTTAAGACTATTTAATGCCACTGATATAATGATAACTCAGAGGGCAATGAGCTTTTTATTCATAAGAATATTCAGACATTGGGATTTGAATGTGAAAAAAAAATTAAAATATCCTTTATAAAAACAACATAAAGAAAATAAAAGCACTCTATATAAACTAAAAATAGCTGGCTCTTATTATTTGCATTGCCCCACCCATGGTGAAACTCAGAGCAGGTGACGAGGCCAGAAGCAGCGTGACCAGAAGTAACCGCCAAATCTGTCTCAGCATAGTTTTTTCTGTTTATTTGCCTTAGCTGCTGTGCCCCAAGTCTTATAATGGTGGGGGAAATCCTGCTGTTAATTTGGCATGATGTTGGCTAAAATGTTGGAGACATTCTTAAGTAAACAAACACGCATGTAAACACAACAGACAGGTCATGCTCAAACGTTGTACGATAAGTAGCAAACCTAATTATCGTTACCTGTAAAAGTGGATTATTTATATTATTTTTTTTTACATCTTTCCCTTTGGTTCACAGTTCACTTCCAAGCAGCTTGAGAGACTGGCCAAGAAGGCAGAGAAGGAGTCTGAAAAGGAGCAGGCCAAGGTCAAGAAGGTGAGCCCAAGCTCCACTGTGGCGGCTGAATGGTTAAGATGCACACCATATACTGTAATCACTGTCTCCCACCATGTTTTATTCTGTGTGGAGGGACCTTTGTTGTCACACTCCTCTCTTTTCTTTCACCGTTTTCCATCTCATCTACTGTGACCTCTCTAATAAAGGCAAAAAGCCCAAAAATAGTCTTAATAAAGGCCACGCTTCATTTGGTGCAAGTACATAAATGAAGGGAAAGATGCATTGGAAAATGGATTGTTTTTAATGTTTTATTAAAGTAGTACCAGCAGTACTATTTTTGGTTCACTAACTGCTCTATGTTTAGCACAAGTGAAAAATGTAAACCATTACTTATAGTCACTGGTTTAAAAAAAAAAAAGAACTTATTTGAGGGTTAAATACATTAATGCTCACAATGTAAAAACATGAAGATGTGGATTCCTCTTAAATATTTGACTATTACTAATATTTATTGATATATTGAGTTATAGTTTAAATGTCTCTGATGACCTTTACTTTACTGCCTTTTGTCATTTATGGGGCTCCATGATTGGAACAGATTAGATTAGATCATTTATTTGTGTCCTGCTGGTCACATGACACCAGGAGTGGCACACATCAGTCAGCAGGGGGCAGTACAACTTTAGTGTTGAACAAGGAGGGCCTTGGTTGGTTTGTGAAATTGATGCGTCGCTATTTCGTTGATGGCTGATTGTTTTTAGGGTTAAATATTTCTATATTATAAGGTTATTAGTCCTCTCTGTTCCAGTTTTAAATGCATGTTTGGTTTGGAGATCGCTGAGGTGATATCCAGATGACTTCTCTCACGGAACAATAGAGTTACAACTGTCCCTTATTATCTCACCGGCCAGACATATTTCCCTGAGTCATAATGCTCTTCACTTCTCATGTCCTGCAATTGCTGCTGTCGGTTGTTTTTCTTACTGCTGAAAAGATTATGATGTCTATTGAGCATTAGAGACTAGGTAAAAGTAATGAAATTTTTCTTTAGCTGCATAATAATAACGATATAAAAAGAAATCTAAGCTTACATACAATTTTGAAACAAAAAAAATATATTAGCGTCTCTATGTGTCAGTTTGAACATGTTGTGCATGTGTACACATATATGGAAGATTATCTAAAGGTGACATGTAGTTTTTGAGTGATAACGGTGTCTTTGTCTCATCACCAGGCTTTGCAACAGAAAAATGTGGAATGTGCCAGAGTTTACGCGGAGAATGCTATCCGGAAAAAAAATGAAGGCCTTAACTGGCTGCGCATGGCGTCTCGAGTCGACGCGGTGGCCTCTAAAGTCCAGACTGCTGTCACCATGAAGGGAGTAAGTAACTGTGTTTCAGTCAGCTCACTAATACATGCTGCCTTAGC